TTGAAGAAAATGTAGGAATTATTATTAAAAAGGATAACAAATTACATCAAAAATTTAATGTAAAAATACATCAAAAGAGACAAACATTTAGCAAATGGATTAATGCTAAACAAAATGATGACAATATTGCTGAACAAAATCTTCATTATATTTTCGGTATAATTATTATTATTAGTATTTATTTAGTTTTCAATATTATTATTATTATTATTGTATTTTCAAAGCTGTTTTCGATCTCAAAGTTGGTCAAGAATTTTATGGTATTTTAACAATATATTGGAAAAGTTATAAACGATTAGTGATTAATAATAATAATAATAATAAAAATGATGTCATCCATAGTGAAACAGATTCAGACTTTTAGTTTTTAAAATATATATATAAATAAATGTATTATAAATACCGTGTAATATAATAATCAATTATTATTATAAATATTAGTATTTTTTATCATATTTTTGTAATGAAAATACAGTATTTTTTGTTGTTGTTGTTGTAAAAAACTGATATTAATATTATAATACTGTAAAAGCCATTAATTGAAAAATAAATTTTTAAAAAATCTAAATAAAATTTTGACTAAAATATTTTAATTATTATACCTAAAAATTAAATATTATGATTAAAGTTATTGCAATCTCTAACACATCGCAACATACATTGATTTTATTCAATAACTGATAACTATATGTAATAATAATAATAATAATAATAATCACAATTCATTAAACTTTATATAATTTTATTTTTTTAATTAACTATTTTTTCGGTCCAATCATATTCTCCGGTCGTACCCATTGGTCAAACTGATCGGCAGTTAGATAACCCAATTGAATGGCCGACTCTTTCAATGTTAGTCCCTCTTTGTGTGCTTTTTTGGCAATTTTCGCGGCCTTATCGTAGCCTATATGCGGATTGAGTGCCGTAACCAACATCAGCGACTCTTCCATCAGTTGTTTAATACGGCGTTCGTTGGCCACAATATCTGCGACACAATTGTCGGTAAACGATACGGAAGCGTCGGCCAGCAATCGTATTGATCGTAAAACATTGGCCACAATTAGCGGTTTGAATACATTGAGTTCGAAGTGTCCCTGAGTGGCACCGATAGTTACGGCCACATGATTGCCCTGGACTTGGGCGCAGACCATTGTCATAGCTTCGCATTGGGTTGGATTGACTTTACCCGGCATTATCGATGATCCCGGTTCCAGTTCGGGTAGTATTAGTTCGCCAATACCCGATCGCGGACCGCTGGCCAACAAACGTATATCGTTGGCAATCTTGTTCAGACTACAGGCCAGTACGTTCAGTGCACCGGACAGTTCAACGAGAGCGTCGTGAGCGGCCAGTGCCTCGAACTTGTTGGGCGCGGCCCGAAAGTTTAGCTTGGTTATCGAGGCCACCTCTTTGGCCACAGCACTGTCCCAGCCGACTGCCGTATTAAGTCCCGTACCAACAGCTGTGCCACCGATAGCCAAATAGTAGACCCGGGGCTCCATTGCCGACCGTATCCGATCGATACCGAACTGGATTTGTGTGGCGTAACCGGAAAACTCTTGACCCAATGTCAGTGGTGTGGCGTCCTGTAGATGTGTTCGGCCATTCTTGATAATGGCCGCAAACTGTTTCTCTTTGGCGCGCAAAGCGGCCAACAGTTTCTCCAATGCCGGCAACAGCGATGCGTTGGTCTCGACTGCGGCCGCAATATGCATAGCCGTCGGATACGTATCGTTACTTGACTGCGATTTGTTTACGTGATCGTTAGGATGAACCGATTTGTCACCCCGTTTGCCGCCTAAACACAACACAACACAAAAAACAGATCAGTAATGTTGAGGACAGGTATGATATGTATGTACGATAAGTATAGACAGTTAAAACAATGGACACACAATACTGACCTAATATCTCGGCCGCCCGATTGGCAATAACTTCGTTACAATTCATATTTGTTTGGGTACCCGAACCGGTCTGCCAGATGACCAGCGGAAACTCACGGCAAACTTCTAGTCGATCGCCAATAACTTCATCGCATGCCTGTTCAATAGCTGCGGCCAAACGTTCGTCCAGTGCACCCGACTGACGATTGACACGGGCGCAGGCCTTCTTCAGTACAGCCATTGCCGTTACAATCGGTTTGGGCATCTGTTCACCGGTGAAATCCGAGTCGGCACCAATGCGAAAGTTATTGCGCGATCGTTGAGTCTGCGGGCCATACAAACGGTCGGCCGGTACCCGAACTTCGCCCATAGTGTCCGTTTCGATACGATAGTCGACGGCTGCTGCCGCCGGTTTGGTGGTCGACATAGCTCTAGTGGTTGTCGCCGTTGTTGTTGTCGATGTTGTCTTCAACAGTTGGTTCAGTGCACGTACTGTATGTCTTCGGCAGTGTTGGTGATGCGGTTGTAGGGCTGCTGCTGCTGATGACTGTGCGATACAGTAGTAAAGTGATCGATACATGATGTCTGTCTCCTGGGGTTAGTTTAGGTGTATTTTGTGAGGGGGTAGTTGTTTTGCAAAAAGTAGGCCTTTCCTCTTTTACTATATCTCTCAGTAATATATCTCTAACCTTCACAAACTCCCTGTCCTTTAATTGGGATGATTATTAGCAGCCAATCAAACGGTTGATTAATTAATACTAATATTTATGGGAATAAAATAAATTAAAACTTTAATATATTTTTTTCTAATATGTCTATCACTTACACACTGTTTGAATGAATTTCAATGTCAACACAACAACAACAACTAAAAACTGTATATAAAAAAAATTATATTAAAATGAAAACACAATTTACTGTATTATCTATTGATAAGTATATATACAACTGTAGTATTAATACAGTAGTAGTAGTAGTAATAGTGACATATTTTTTTTAGAAAAAAGGGACCGTATATTCATTAAAAATATCTAAATTATTTTTAGTATTAGTTGCTAATAATAAGTTAAGCAAATAATTAATATTATTATTATTATTAATAATAATTTAAATTTTATTAATTAATTAATTAATATTAGTATAATTATTTTGTTAGGGAAAAAATTGTATTATTAATAAATTTGTAATAATTAGTAATTTATTTAATTTATTTAGTTTTTTGTTGTTTTGTTGTCGTTATCTTTAATACTGTATTTTATTTTTGAAGACAATTAACATTTATTTTTTTTTTAATTATGTTTAGTTGTATAGTTAGTGATAATTAATACAGTAATAATTTTTTTTTGTAATTTATTTTTGTTTTCTTAATTAGATTACTAACTAATTAACTTAAATTAGTTAATTAATAATTATCTATTCAATTGTTTTTGATTTTATATTAATAGCAATTTATAATTGGATTTATTGTTTGTTTGCTATAAAAATTAAATTATAATTTACAAATTAATTCCCAATTACTTGATTTAATATATATATATACAACTAAATTAACAATTTTTTTATAAAAAAATATAGTATTTATTTATAATATACTAATTGACTTAATAAAGTCATTCAATAATATTTTAAATAATCATTTATACTGTATATAAATGCTGTATATTATTAGATAATTATTTTTTAATTAATTAAATTTATTCAATGTTACAAAAACAATAACAAAATATTAAGTGAATTTTTAAAATTTAGTTTTTTTAAATTGTATTGAAATTATATTAAGTAATATCCATAAATTAAAACATATAAAACCAATTGATTATATTTATAGTTATTACTAAATAAATTTTTCGTACTCAATGTTTATCAAATTCAAATACACAAAAATAATTTTTAGTTAATAATTTATGCAAACAGTTTACTATAATTTATATTTTTGTTTTTATATATCATATGTAAGCCAAATATTGATTTTACACTAATTTAAATTTTAAATTAAAAAATAATACTTTCATATGAAATAAAAATTTGCTTAAATATGTTATAAATATTTAATTTCAAAATAATATGTTTGTTTATATGGGTGTATATAAATTATATTTATTATTTATGTATAGTTTAAATACAGTCAAATATTTATATATATAAAAAGTATTATATTGTATAAAAATTTTAAGCATCATTAAAAATTTAATAAACAAAACATTAATAGTTAAACAAAATTTTAAATTTACAATAATTTAGTTTATTTATATTTGTTCAAGATAAATTTGATTTATATTAAACGTTGAATTATTTTTGCAACAAAAAAATTTTGAAAAAATAAATTTCAATTTATTTGTTTTTTTAGTTAAAAAGTTGATTTGTTAATAATTATATAATTTATATATATATATTGATTAAATTTCAATATTATAATAATAAAAAATATTATTAATTTAACATTAGATTATTTATTTGAATAAATTATTATATAAAAAAAATGTTAAGAAATAAAACTGTTACAAAAATATTTTGCATACATTGATGTAAAAGTATAAACTATTTTTTAAAAACAAACACATTTTGCCAGATATTGATTGCCATTAAAACATTGGAGACATTATATAAGATTTACTTATAAAGGATTTATGTCTACTTAAAAGCCAGTGATATATAAATATCACGAAATATTTATATATATATATATATATATTTCAAAACAAATAAATATAATTTAATGGCAAAATAGAGGATAAAAATGCAATATACTGTATGTTTTTGTTTTTATTTTGTGAAAGTTATATTTTAGTATTATAATGTATATAAATTTCTATATCAATATATACATATATATACTGTATTTTTACTATTTCTAAACAAATACAACGATGGCATGCATTAAATTTGTATTTAAATGACTGATTACTATTAGGAGATACACTGTACACATTAGTATATATATACACAATATATATATATACTGTTCGGATGCAAAATTGTTTTCGTTTTCAACACTCTCTAAAGTAACTTAATTTTTGTATGACTCCTTGCAATGTTTACAAAATAATTTGTTGACTATCAAAAACCTTAATATCTAGTCTTTAAGTGTGTTATTGAAATTTTGTGATATATCTTCAAATGGATCCGTTATACGGCTTAAAATCTCATGACATCCGTGTCCGATATGCCATGGAATATGAATATCGTCGTGGAACAAATCCAACAATGGCGGCCAGTAATATCAATGATGCCTATCCGGAAGCAGTTAGTGTGAGGACTTGTCAACAGTGGTGGAAAAGATGGAAAGAAGAAGGCGTAGTAGTTGAGGACAAAGAAAGGTCAGGAAGACCATCGAAGATTGACAATGAAATGCTGACAGATTTGATCGAGATGAATCCGAAATTTTCAGGTGAAGAGATAGGAGAGATACTAGAGGTTGATTCATCAACCGTCACAAGACATTTGGCAGCCATTGGCAAAAGATATGTGTCTTCAGTTTGGGTACCTCATGATCTCACTCCTCAACAAAAGGCCAATCGAGTGAAAACATGCCAAGAGTTGCTTTCACGTCAAAATACGGAAGGATTTATAAAGTGGATGGTGACCGGCGATGAAAAGTTAATATACTATAACAATGCTAGTAAAAAGGGTGAATGGAGAAGTACAGATCAACGACCAATTGGGACGCCAAGACCAGATTTTCGTCAGCAAAAAGTAATGTTATCTGTTTGGTGGGATAAAACAGGAATTATCCATTGGGAATTACTAGAGATTGGAGCCACCATTTCAGCAGATCTCTACTGTCAACAATTGACAAGACTTCGTGACAAATTAATAGAAAAGCGATACTCAATGGTAAACAAATGGGGTGTCAATTTCCAACAGGATAATGCCCCATCTCACACGGCAAAGACGACCAAAAACTTATTGAAACAATTTGGATGGAAAATTGTTGATCACCCTCCATACTCACCTGATATTGCCCCTTCTGATTATTATTTGTTTCGGTCAATGCGACACTTTCTTGATGGTAAAAAATTCAAAAATCGGGAAGAGGTCGAAATGGCAGTCAGCGACTATTTCGCCAAACAGCCAGAAGAGTGGTTTGCCAAAGGAATCCAAGATTTGCCGAACAGATGGAGAGAAGTCATAGATTTGAATGGCGATTATATACTTAGATAGACTATTATAATTATATATTAAAATAATGTTTAAAAATATGCAATTCAAACGAAAACAATTTTGCATCCGAACAGTATATATATATATATATATATATATTAAAATAAAATAGTTATTAGAGACAAACACTTATGTATTAAATATATTATTATACAAAATGGGATTTTTTTACGGAAGATAGCTTTGAATGACAATCATTATTGTGTAGTAGTAATAGTCATTGTAGTAGTAGTAGTAATAATACTCATAGTCTTTATTGTTGTTGTTATTGTTGTTGTTATTGTTGTTGTGTTCATGTGTTTTGAATGCATGAATAAAATTACAGAATATTCTGAGATTTTTTTTCTTGATGTATATTCATATATATTATATCACATTATAATACAAAACAATATATCTTACAATACAATACAATGTCATTACGTATGGCGACTACTAAAAACATATATTATACTAATATATATATATATATATATATATATATATATATATATATATATATATATATATATATATATATATATATATATAAACTGTATAATATATATATAACCGGAAAAACAGTATAATATATTGTGCTTTTAGGCCAATTACTAGATATAAATATAATACATTTATTTTTTTTATTTTTTTTAAATAATATTTTATTTAAAATAAATTTTCTATATAGAAATTTAATTAATTTTATATTATACTAATTATAATAGATTATAGAATATATTGTTAAATTTGCATAAATATTGTTATAATTATTTATTTATTTATTTTTAGAAGTTTACTTTTAAATTATAATATATATTATATAAAATTATAAATACCAATATTGTCCAGATCTAACAAGTTTAACAGCAATAAAATAAATTTTGTTTGTATTTAAGATTTTCTGTAATAGATATTATTGGAAATAAATTTAGTAGAAAATCTATTTTTAGTAAATATTAGAAATATTAGAAATTTCAATTGAAATTATAATTTTTCAAATGTAAATAATTTTTGCGAACATTTTATTTTTTTAAAGAAATTTTATATAAAATACAGTTGATATCATATTTCAGTTTATTTTATTTTATTTAATATAAAAAACAAATTGCTATTAGCTATAATTTATACAAAAATCCAATATTGTATTGGATACCAAATAAACTATAATAATAATAATAATAAAATACTGTATATGTATTTAACTTTTTTAAATAAATAAATAAATTTGAAATTCATATTGTTTTTTGACAAAAAAAATTATATTCCAATAAAAGTTTAAATACGATTATAGTTATGATATTAAACTATAAAATTAATTTTATTAAAAACATTTAAACTGTACTGTAAGTCAAAATTCCCAGAATATTCTGCATTAAGTTATAAATAGTATGCATAATATGTATACTTAATAATACTGTGCTATTTAGTAAGCGATGTATGAAATTTATTTAAGCTTATTTTAATTAATTCATAAATTATTTATCTAAAAAAAACTATAAGTAAAACATAAAGTATATTATATTTATACCAAATATATATATATATTGAAAGTTGAAAGAGAAATAAAGAGATTTAATGGGTATTATAAGTTAAGAATCAGTACACATAAACCTAACGATAAGATTCCGGGAATATTTGTTATTTAGTATATATTTATACTGTATATACTGTATATAAAAGCAATAAATTCTGTTATTATTAAGCCATGAAATTAGTTAACAACTATGAAACAACATTTTTCAATGAATAATAATACTTTAAATATATTAATATATACAGTATATACAGTATATACAGTATATACAGTATATACAGTATATATAAGTATTACATATATAAGATTTTTAGTTGTTTTTTATTTGTTATATAATATTTTTAATCAGAAACTATTTTTAAAGCATTATAATGTATTAGATATACATAAAAACATTTTAATCTTGATTTATATGTATATGTTTTGTAAACAAAAAAAACTAAATAAAATTATCTGCAAACAGGATAATGTAATTATAATTTTTGTTGTTGTCTATTTTATCTAAAAATATTTATCATAATAATACTAATACTAATATATGTAATATAATGTTTTTGTAATGAATTTATTTAATAAAATTTTCTGTATTTTTTTAATAAACAAACAGCTCTTTAATGCAATAATTTTCTTAAATGAACTGACAATTAGTTTAGTTAAATATTTGAACCTAACTTTCCTCCTCTCACTTACTTAATTAAGACAAACATTTTGCATATACTAACTGTATATATATATATATATATATATTGTATATACCTGAATGATAATAAGGATCTGATTTTTATTTTTCAAAAAAAAATAACTCAAATTGTAGGAAAATTTTTTTATTTAATACAATTTTATTTTATTTTCTAGAAAAATAAATTGAATCTATTATTACTTTATATATACAGTATATATATATATATTTAACTTTTTCTTAAATAAAATTATTTAAAACGCCTATTTGGTTAAGCATTTAGTTTCTTGTGTGTGGATGAGTGACTGAAATGCATAGAAAAATGATAACAACTTTTTTTTGGTGCTTATTGTAGACACAATTGACTTCAAATTGTATGTCTGTGTCTACTATTGTATGTGTATGTATTAGTCAGTGTGTGTGTGTGTGTAAAGGATGAGCTGAAAAACTACAATTTGCATTCAATATTATTGTGTGTGAATGTGAAAGAGAGAAAGTCATACCAATATATATATATATATATATATTATAGGAATGATTGAGTGGATAGGGATCAACAAATAAGATATGGAAAAAAAGATATGGCACTGTATGACTGTATTATAGAGCACTGGTAGTCTTGTAATAGAGCCGGGCATTAATGAAAAGAGGGAACTAATGTAAGTTGAGATAACTTTTATATTTCGTTAATACAATTGATATGTGCTCTCTCTCTCTCTCTCTCTCTCTACTCTCTCTCTCTCTCCTATTCATTCACTCACTGATTATAGATATAGTTAAGAAATAGTGTGTGTGTGTGAGAGAGAGAGAGAGAGAGAGAGAGAGAGAGAGAGAGAGAGAGACGATAGAAAATAGTTTGTATGTCGACTTTAGCAGCACATCCATAGCGACTGCTCCGGTAGTGTATGTGTGATGTTGGATGAGATGGAGAGTGTAATAGACAACTGAACCGATGATTTTATTTGCACTTAGTTTTTAAAAAGTGCAGAATATTCTGTATGAATGTCTATATGTAATAGTATAGTATTGACTATAGCCTTAGTGTTTAGACATAATATTCAGTATATGAGCTCATGTATGAGCATATCAAGCAAGATTTTTTTTGTAAAAATAGGAAAGTTATGTGAAAATAGCAATACATACCCACATAATAATAATAATGTACTCATAGACACAAACACACAGTGATTTTATTTCAATGGTCTAATGGGAACCGGTGGTATTGATTTTTGATGGCATTGATTATCAATAGCTAACAACACTTGTTTTTCTTTAAAAAAAATTATTTGTAAAAATGTGTAATTAGTTTAATTAATTTGTGATTTTTTTTATTGTATATATACTGTATACTATGTGTTAATTTTTTTTGTTGATATGTGAGTGACTATCATATATAAATTTTATAATTATACCCAGTACCTTTACACCCTATTATATTCTAGTTAAAGTGATATCCAACCAATTGTTAGCTACCTGTGGTGTGTGTGTGTGTGTTGTATAACTATTGGTATTACTATTACTAGTAACTTACAAAATCGCCAGTTCCTCATCATCATCATCATCATCACGTGAGGACAGCATCACTAACCTAAACAATAACAACAACAAAACTAAACTGTGGATTACAATCTTGTATTTTTGTGTTTGTGTATATATATATATATACATATATTTGTACACACACTACTGATCTGATAATATACGGTATATAAACAACAAAAACATCGGTATATATATATCTATAATCCCTGAGCGCTGTTTTAAGAAAACCTATGTGTGGTATCCTATGGTGTGATGCCATCGAGTTTTGCTAAGAATTATTGGATTCATCGATGTCTCGGTTGTTTGGCTGCTGTAAGTCATAAGTGATAGTAGTTGTTGTTATCAAAACGATTTAGCATTGATTATCAATTTTTTATGGCCCAAACACACACACACACACATAAACATTATGAAACTTATGAGATAAAATTGATTTTGTTTTTATACATATGATACCAAACAACAACTCATCCACACACAAAAAAAATCTCCAAAAAAAATCAATGCTTTAGATTTATGACCAAAAAAAATTTTTTTTGAAGAAATTGTGAATAATTTTATTTTCAACAAAAATGTTTTGACATTAAAATTATAGGACGATATTATATAATACTGTATATTCAATAGTTAGTAGTAGTAGTAGTAGTAGTAGTAGTAGTAGTAGTAGTAGTAGTAGTAGTAGTAGTAGTAATAGTATTGGATTTCATAGGCTATTTGATATCACTGTTGAGTTGTTAGTTATATAATACTAGTACTAATAAATTTTATGATTTTTTTTGTTGCTGATAAATTTTTGTAGATTATACAGTATATTGTATATAATATTATATAAAGTTATATATTGTTCAAATTCAAAATATTATCTACAAGTAATAAATTTGGTGCCACTTTTCATATCATCAAATCATATATTAATAGTATACTATATTTATATATACAGTATATAAATATTTTTTTTTCTATATTATTATTATTATTATTACTATATTATCATATCGTTACACACACACACACACACACTTTAAGTACAAGATATTTTTTTTGTCATTGATATGAACATTAATACAGTTAATAATACATTAATATAGTATACTTGTATATGTTATCAACACAAACAACAAAATAACTAATTCATCAAAAAAATACAGTATAGTATTAGTAGTTATATGCTTGAAGTTTGTCTCAGTAAAAGATTAAATGAGACATGAGATGCAATACACACACACACACACACACACACACACACACACACACACACACACA